TTTAGTGTACTAATAATCTTAATTTTAGTAATGACAGGAGGCGAATATTTGCATATCTTTCTTTACTGAAAACTCCAGCAGCATAGAAACATAACAACCAATCAGAAAAAAGTTATGATGCCCATAAAAGGCCCTGTCTATGACATCATTTCCTCTTTCTTTGAAATTCTTTAAATAACAACAAGAGACATAATCATATTACGTCATTAGTTCAACAACATATTAGAATATCCAACTCCATTAGTTCCGCGATGCAGAGGTATGGAAGGTGAATTTTTGTCTCGATGAGAAGACGTTCACGCTGCAAGAAAAAGAAAAGGTGAAAGGTATCTGGCGTGATAACTTGTCCGCATACAATAAGCATAAGCATCTGATATACCAACGAACATTAGAATGTGAAACATATCAATATATATTTATTCTAACGCAATGATATTTAAGGATCTATAAACACAACATAATGCAAGGTTCATGTCTAATATTCAGCCAATACAAGACCCGCAAGGTACAGGTCTAAGTAGCAAACATACAAACCATACGTACTTACCTTCCTGAACGTAAAGGACATATTCTGTTCAACACGAGAAACATGGGAGGGATCCTATAGAGTGGGAAATATTCGCCTCCTGTCATTACTAAAATTAAGATTATTAGTACACTAAAGCTAATATAATCTTCAATTTTACCACATGACAGGAGGCTTCATATTTGCATTTTTAAAGCTTTGAATTGACCAATGTGAAGGAAGCATGAGATGTTTGCGAAAATAGAACGTTCTAAACGTACTCTCTCGCGCTCAGTCCGCGCAGCGTATAATGTCGGCTAGGGAAGCGTCGGCCGAAAAGGTTTGTGAGGCCGCCGCTCCCCTGACCGAGTGGGCTCCGAAACAAGGTTCGACGCTAAAGACAAAAACCAGCGGACCCATCTGGCCAGTGTTGCGGTAGACACCGGTCCATGAGGGTTCACGTAAGAAGTCAGAAGGTGATCCGTCGAATGAGTTCGAAGGGGGTAGAGATATTGGTGTACCCCATTAGCGTTCTGACCACGCATAGTGTGGCGTCTGACACAAAGCATGGGTATGACACTGAAGACGAATCAGACTTAGTTCGTCTCGACATGGTAAAGGTAACCCCGTCTGGTGTGAGAGAGAAACCATCCATATCGCAAGCCCTAACATCCGCCACCGTCTAAATGAGGCGAGGCATAATAAGAGGGCTAGTTTGGCTGAAAGTTGCTTCAGTGACAAACAAGGATTGTCCGGCCATTCCCTAAGGAATCTCAGCACCACATCCACCTGCCAGAGGCGTGAATATTTGGGTGCAGGGATCTCGACAATTCGGCACCCCGCAGTAGTCGACAAACCAGTGTATCTTGACCTACTGGTCTGCCCTGTACCGGAACGTGCGCCGCCGATATGGCGGATCTGATCACGTTGAGGGATCGATATGACCGACCCAACGAGACCAGGTGTGACAGATAGTTGAGGATCAGTGGGACAGGTGCGGTAAAGGGATCGGAATCCCTTTCCACACACCAATCACTCCAGGCCGACCAGGCAGAAATATAGCCTTTCCTGGTGCCGGGAGCCTATGAGTCCCATAGGAGGTCTTAGTTGATGCAATAGGTCGTGAACTGACCAGGAGCCCCTGAAGCCGTCCAGGCAACTAGTGCCAGTTGTCCTTCCATGACGAAGGAGTGGGCTTCCCCTCGAGGTCCCGTCAGAAGTAGAGGGAAGGTAGGGAGTTGTAGAGGGTCTTCGCGAGACATCTCCAGGCGATCCGGGAAAATCACGGTTGGCCCTGCTCGAGGGGTGTCATGAGCAGGAGCGATATCTTGTGGGTGTGTGTGTGTATCGAAGCACCCTTGCTATTGTGGAGAACGGCTGGGTCACGTTTGCAGGGGTTCATCCATCGCCCCGTATCCGAAGGAAGAGTCAAAGGTCGTTTTGCCAATCCAAGTTTGTATGTGAAGTAATCACCATCGAAATTCCATCCTCACTTCCGCTGACAGTGGGATCCAGTGGTCGTATGAGTGACCGGTGCGTACGTATCTCACCATCAGTCGTAGTGGGCCAGAGAATAACGCTTGTATGGAGGAGGAGAGGAGGAGAGGAATCCCACAATCCGACAGCTATCCTTATAGAGGCGCTCTTTGCCGTAGACAGACACGGAACGTAGTTCTCCAAGCCGATGTCGAAACCGAGGAACTGGCCCGATTCAGATGGGGAAGCGATCTTTGTCTGTGTACAACAAAAAACACATGGAGTCCCGAAAGTGAACGACAAATTTGTCTGCAAACGTAGCCTGGATTCGTAAAGAATCAGCAAGTCTTCCAGGTATAAGAGGCATCGCACGCCCAAATTTACGGATGTGTGCCCTCACTGGTTACAGTAGGTTTGCGAGCACCACGGAGTCGTAAACTGCCGTGTTTGTCCTCACCATTGGAATCGGAGGAAAACTTCGGCAGTCCAGGGCAACGGGTACTGACAAGCGTGCGTCCTTGAGGTCCAGATGTGTAAACCAGTCGTTATCGCCTAGGAGGTCTTGTAGAAGACGAATTTCCTCCATCTTGCAGCATTTGTATACCATGTAGGAGTTCCATTGATGTAGTCTCCTGGCTTCTTCTTGACCAGGAAAAATTTGCTGGGGAAGCCTTCCCCTCCGGTGCATGTTGAATTGCGCCCCTCCTGAAGAGGGTGCAGATTTTCTTGTCCACGAGGCGTTCCTGTTCCGCCAGCGTGCGTAATGGAGGTGAAGGGGCGACCTGCACGGCTGTGATAAAACTCTATGACATAGCCTTGTACTGTCTGGAGAACCCAGGTGACTTTGGTAGTCGTCTCCCAATTCTGTAAAACAGAGACAGGTTGCCGGTCATAATATTGGAAACAGTTAGTTATGTAGGTTGACACACTAGTAGATGAAGCGGATGGGTTCCTTTGTGTAGTAGATGGGAGAAATATGAGGACTGTGTATACGATCTGGAACCTGTCGCCCAGGAGCGGCTGGTGGCTCGGTTCAGCTACCGACCAGTCCTCCCAGAAACACCTTTCCCCGTAGGGTTGTGGAAGACTTGCTTTAGCGAGGTCTGGGTTTAATTTAGTGTGGTGAATAAATTCACGTGTTTCTTGAGTACTGCAATGAACACTACGTCGAATAGTAGGCCTTGTGCTTTTGGGCCGAATTCTTGTCGTTCCTAAGTCCAATAGTGTGTTGTCGATGCGGCCCAGTACAGATTTGCGTCTGTCGGCGCATAGTGCGTCATTTACGTTGCCCAGGAGGCATATCGAGCATTAAGACCATTCTTTGGAGGTGGTAGGGTTGAGTTGTGTACCCTGGGGTAACTCGGTCTTGAGGCGTGCGCATCCTTCCATCCCCCGAGGGTTGCGCAGCCAATAGTGTTCGTCCAGGAACGTTCCGTCTTCGGCTACTCTGGTTTAGTGCCGCTACAGTTATCTCTGCCTCAGCCGCCGTCACAGAGTAAGGTTTCCCTAACGTACTTCGAGGAAGTGTGGGGAAGGTCTTGCCGTTCCATTTCCTCAGACGGTGAGCTGTCTTCGTGTCGCTCATCTACCATGTCCAAAGTACGTGGTGGGTAATAGTCTTCTTTGTCGGAAGATTGTGGCGGACAGGGTTTGGATTCCCGGTGCTCCGCCTATTTGGTCTGTTCGATGGGCGTCTTGCCCTTGACCTTAGTGGCAGGGGGGCTGGAGCCCTTCCCTTGCCGTTTTGACTTGAAGGCTTGTGGGCCTGAGGTCTCCATCAAGCGGTGTGGGGTAGAGTTCATAACAGAACCTTCTCCACTGAGGCCGTTACTGTGGCGTTTATCATTGCCTAGAAATCTTGGGAACGTTGAGAGTGTCCACCATGACTCGTTCCCGTCCTGTTGGGAGATAGTGTGAGTGTCAGCACGTAGGGGTGTTAGACTCCTGGTAGAACTGGGGATCACCCAGGTAAAATGGTTTGAATTGCCTGCTTTAGTATGTCTGAGAGTATGAATACTCGTGCCAAGTGTAGAGGGGTCACCTCTATTAGTTTAATCTGGCTACTGAGAGCCGTGGTGCAGGCGCGACTGACTGGTAGTGGTGTCGGTCTGGCTAGCCGGGTTCACCACAAATGTACACCAGAGCTGTATGCACGGTTTTTAACTATACAGGCTTATTATATAGGCGCATGGGGCTTGTCTCCATAAGGTCTACAGCCGCAGGACCTATGTCTATTAGGCTGGGTTCATCCCAGGTGGTGTGCCATGGTAACCCAGAGGACACCCATATTATAATTATTGGCACCTTACAAGCATTGCATGCATATCTGGGGGTCATCCCAGGTGGTGTGCCATGAAAAATTACCCAGAGGACACCCACGTTCAATATGTACACTAGGCACAGTAAATATACATATATGTATCCCTGTGAAGGGTACACCGCAATACACTCAGTTTTCTTAGTGATCCTGCCGTCAAATCGCATCCGGCATGGTACTGTTGCTTTAATGTAAAACTGACAGGCAGTGTTTAAACATCCATATATGTCTGTAGTAATCAGTGGTAAAGTTGCGGCGTAGGCCTCCGTGCATATGATCGGGGTTCACCCCGGGTGGTGTGCCATGGTAACCCAGAGGACACCCACATCAAAGGTAATGGTCTGTCAGTGACCTTGCATGCATATCTGGGGGGTCACCCCAGGTGGTGTGCCATGAAAAAATACCCAGAGGACACCCACATAAATTTGCACCGTCAGGTACAGTAATATAATATGACCCTCTGTAGGGTACAATAATATAATATAATATGCCCTTTGTAGGGTACAGTAACACAATATGCCCTTCGTAGGGTACAGTGATATAGTTGATCTTGTTATAGGTACAGTATATGTTTTGTATAACGACTGTGATATTGTATGGCTTCACAATAATACATAGATTGTGTGCCTGCTCAACATATAATCATCCAGTGTAAGGCACCATGAGAGATATATCCATGAGAATAAAAAATAATAATTGTATCAATAAATGAATGTGCCCAGAGAGGGGGACCCCTGAAGGGGTTAATCCAGATGCAGGGCGCGGTGATCGGGTGATTCCTGTAGGGTATAGTAATATAGTATGACCCTGTGCAGGGTATAGTAATATGGTATGACCCTGTATAGGGTGTAGACCCTGAGTAAGGTACAAAGACATAATCTCCTTTAATGCCTGTATGTAAGTATTTGTTTGGCAGACACTGTTGGCAGGCACTGTGGCAAAATACATCGAAAGAATACATGGAGAAAAAAACTAAAATCCAGCTTGCAGTCTCCCATTGTTCACTTGGGAGAGCATACACTTGTGGAGCCCGGCGGTCGGGTGAGTTCCCGATCCGCCGAGCGAGCAGGGAAGGTGGCCGTCGGGTATCTCGCGAGCCGCGAGATCCAAGCTGGCCGCCGCCCACATGTGAAGGTGCGCCGCAGATCGCGGTCGCGCGGTGCAAAACAAAGGGGATAAATGCAACACAAACGCTGACCCCAGCCTCCCTCCACCCGTCCCCATACAGTCCCCTGTGTAAGTGAAGAGCCGGTCCGCGAGGCGAGCGCGACACGGGTAGTCGTTGCGCCCGCGGATACCAGGCAGTAAGGTGGAAATAAAAAGGGGGAAAAAACAGAGGGATACAGTGAAGGGACAGGAATAAGGGGGGCCAAGGTAGCAGGTGTTAGCAATAAATAGAGTAATATATAGTGGTATGACAATCAAAAAACAGTGTAAATTAAGAATCTACCAGAGAGGTAAAATACTCTGACCTGATGTATGGCTGGAGCAGCAAAGAAAGAGGAAGTGATGTCATAGACAGGACCTTTTATGGGCATCATAACTTTTTTCTGATTGGTTGTTATGTTTCTATGCTGCTGGAGTTTTCAGTAAAGAAAGATATGCAAATATGAAGCCTCCTGTCATGTGGTAAAATTTGAATTGTACTCTTAATAGTTGATAACATATAATTATGTTGACTGTTATTTACATCAATTATTTAGGTAAATGAGAAAAATATAATTTGCATAATAATTTGGAACAGGGTGTATTCAATTTTTTTTTTCTTACTTACCTGGTCTTTATTGTGGGGAGATATTCAACGAAAGTAGCAAGCCTAGATTAGAAAGTACCTAGCTAAAATACATATATAAGGAATAGAATGAGCGAGGTTTGCAGGATTGTATGGTGATGATCCCACTTGTTTCTGCCTTGTAGGTGTGTGGTCCCTTAAGTGTATTAAATCCCCAAGCCCCTAGTCACTCCTCCCCCCCCCCAATAAAAATACCATATCTACCCCCCTCACCCTAATAATAGTGAGGGGGTGGACAGTAGACTAACCCTGTAAAATAAAATGTCATACTTACCATTAGATGTCTTCTTTTATTTTCTTTCCTCAGCCCCAAAAAAGGTCAAACAAAAATCCATAATGCACGTCGCAACTGTTAAAAAAAAAAAAAAAATCCCAGGCACAAAAAAAAAAAAAAGCTGAAAAATAAAGAAATCCTTCTTCACCCAGTGAGGGCACGGCGCAGAATGAACTCCGCAGAGCGCTTATAAAGCCTTCCCGCGCCCTGCAATTAGGCTCAGAGCTCTCTGATTGGTTGGTTTAAGTTTTTTAAAAGCAATCATTCAGAGTGTTATGAGTCAAATTGCACAACATGGGAAAATTCCAAAGAACCTTCCCACGCTGTGTAAAATGACTCAGAGCATTCTGATTGGTTGGATTCCAAGCCAACCAATCAGAGTGCTGTGACAGGTAAATGTAGAGACTTACCTGTCAGTCTCTTCATTTACCTGTCAGAGCACTCTGATTGGTTGGCTTAAACCAACCAATCCGAGCGTTCGGAGCCATGTGCCAGGCGCCCCCTTATTGCACTAGCGACTGCCCAGTCACTAGTACTTAAAACATTTTAGGCAACATGCCCCTACTCGCGACATGCTGCTAGTAGTGGCATGCGGGAGGATTTAACCTCGCTTTTATTAATGTCGGGGTCATAGTGACTGTAGCGGAGAGCTAGTATTTCATAGCCTACCTCCACTTGTAGATCCCAGTGAGGCTCAGGAACAAGTAGTTATAAATCCATAGGCAAGGTATCCAGCAGGTAAAACAATACAGTAGTATCCCAACAGCAATCCCAATAACCGGACGACACACAGTATCAGGAGCAGAACTAAAGATTTATTCAGACAGTGGCCTTATAAAGCCTGCTCCCATGCAAGGGAGGGATTTCCATTATTTTGTACAGTAGCCAATCCTGCTCTGGTAACCTCCCACACATCTCCTCCCCTCAGCCTGCATCATAATCCCCTTATCCAGGACACCAATTCTCCCCGTTTCTGGACGTACCCCTAAACCTAGGGGTACCACTTTAAATTATACATCCCCTGGTGGCCCTGATCTGGGTGAACAACATATCCAAAAATCACCCAGATCAGACCAGGGGTTCAGGAAATTCATGGAGGGAATAAAATGACCGACCGCACTGGAGAGAACAGCCGACTGGGGTTCCATGCGATGGGGCCCTGCGGTCGGTCCTGGAGTAAGGGAATAAACTGCACAAAAGCCTCTAGCTACAGAGACTAGGGAAGGTTCGCCTGAATCCCCTCGTTCGGTTGTTTCTATCTACCGAACGAGGGGCCGTTCGGTAGTTTGGAACCGAACGGACAGGGCTTGTGGAGGTCTCAGCGGTGTTCGCCTAGTCGAGTGTCCGATTTGAGTTCCAGACACTCGACGGCAAAACACCGCTGTTCGGGAGTTTTAAAATGGCCGCCGCCACGTGTTCTTTTCCCGAATGGCGGCCACCCCCGAGAACAAAGGACGGCTACTCAGCTTGTCAATTACCCGTTCGCAACAAAGTTGCAACTGGTAATTGAAGGCACACTTCACACAGGGGTGGTCTGATTGTTCAGTAGTTTCATTTGAACAAACTAAGGGAATGAAACTACCTAACATTCAGACGAATACAATACATTAATACACTTATACTTTGCAATTAGACGAATACAGTATAACCTAACACAAGTCCCAGGACAGCCCAGTGCCATCCGCTACAGTGACCCCCATAGGTTTAAATGGGGGAGGGAATTAATATTATTACAAGGAGGGAGTGTCAAGTTTAACCTCCCCAACACGCAAACTAAGCGGCTCAAACGGTAGACGTATTACCGGTCCTTCGAATGGCCGGACCTAACGTGAAAAAATACAGAGAAGAGAACAGAATCTTCAGATGAGCCAAGGTCAGGATAGGAGAGGAAAGAAAAAACTAATAACATAGCCAAGGGTCAAGGATGCCAGAAGTACGAATAACCAGGAAACAAGCTGAAGTCAGATACCAGAAAAGACAAACCAACAGAACGCACTCTCAGGCTACAAGAGACCATGACAGGGCAAGAAAGTGATGAAAGAGGGAGGTATAAATAGGGCTAAGTGAGAGCTGATAGGTTAGGGAACATAATGGGGGAACATAATAGGGCAGTAATTAAATAGATATAAATAGTGTGCCAGTTCAAAGGTAAAAAATGGCACTTCCCCTTTAAGAAGCCGGAGACAAGTCGCACGCCCCCTACCTAGTAATAGCACGTGCACCCAGGCATGCACGCAATGTCGGCCGGGCGTCTGCACAGCGTGGAGGGGCAGGACGGACGGCGGGACCGGAGCAAGCCGGGCCGGAAGGAGGTATGACAGAGAGCTGGCAGCGCTGCCGGCTCCCTCCTTGTTATTTTTTATTTTTTTTGCGCATGCGCAACGTTATTTTCTTCTTGCGGTGGGGGTTAATTCCCATGCAGCATGGAGTCTATTAAAGGAACAAAACGAAAAGGTAATGCATTTGGCATTTGCCTTTTCGTTTCGTTTATATTTCGTATGTGGTGCTTTTGTTTACAAAAAGTGGCTAATAATGTGATGACGTCGAACCCGGAAGTAAAGAGCCGTGATTGCGGCGAAAAGAGCGCCAAAGGACAGTTTAAAAGCCTGCATGCTAGGAACATACACATCACCTTTAATTAACGAAGGTTAATTGCCGAAATGCGTCAGGTGCGGTGGATTTCAACTTTTTTGGGACTTCTTTTACAATATTCCTGTTTTTATTTGTTTCCTGTGTTTTGGAAAATAAAGTTTGTAACCCCCTGATTCTGCGTCCTGGTGGTACCTTATACAGGATATTAAGGTGGAGTGCCCAGCTGAAGTCTATTTTGTTCAAGGCATGCAGTTTGAGCCAGCTTCTTAAGTGGCCCTCTATATGTGAGTGGGACCAACACATATATTACAATAGTTGAGTGTAAACTTTATTACCCTATGTCTTTTTTCTTTGTTTAATTTCAGAGAATTATATGACTTTCAATTTGGGTAACATTTATTTATTTTTCTGAGTGCTCTCACTATTGTTTGTTTTCTTGTTTATTGCTTTCGTTTCCGTTCTAGTAAACAAATACGGAAAACCCCCCAAAAATTTTCATGCGAAAACGAATGCACATGTCTACTCCTGTTGGCAAGCTCTGCGGAGCTGGCTTTGGACCCTGGAGGGAATGCCCAGCACCAGCCAACGCCGAGGCATGGGAACACCAGGAGGCAGTCTAGGGCAGGGGCTAATCCCTGGCTAAGCCCTGGGCTGTCTTGAGGGCCTGCATCTCTGTACAATGGACTTGGGGTCTTGCATATTGGTACTTACTGTATGTAGTGATACATACAGCGTTTGAGTCCAAGTCCTTCCCTACTGGGATGCGGCAAAATCCCTGGGTGGTCGGTCACCGCTTGCGGCGTAGGGTCTTCTGTCTCCATGGATGATGCAGTGGGAGGACATCCCTGATGGCTTTCAGCCCAGACAGGTGTAGTGTGGGAGACCTAGTCGCTGCTAAGAAAGTTGCGCCCGGAGTGGGGCCATGCACCTCGCCACCTGTTCTCCTCCGACCACTCTCCCGACCTCCAGGTGCTGCTCCCACAGCTCAGGCCTCCAGTTGTGCCCAGAAACGGGCGAAGATTGCATCTAGACGTTTCTGCATGCGGTCCAGTGTGGCACACCCATCCGGCACTTCAGGTTGTTGCTGAGGCTAGTGAGGAGAAGGCGCGTCTGCCATTTTAAGGGAAGAGTGTTGCTGCCGGAGCCCGTGCAGTTTCAGCTGCCTGTGTGCAGTGAGGTGAGTGGTCTGATCAGTGGGGACCGGGGAGAGGTGATACACAGGAGTCCCAGCTTCTGCTAAAGAACCAGGAGAGC